GAAGTACCGCAGTTCTTGTTTGTAGCGATCGCGGGTTCGATCCTCGGCACGGGCATTTTTCCCTTGTTGATAGTCCCAGCGCACAACAGTTTTGGCCAATGCACGACAGAATGCAGTGATGGGAGTTTCTTTATATTTTTCTGCAGAGTATATGAACTATGCTCTTCCGAATGGTATGTGAAGTAGTAGAGAGAGAATTTGAACGAAACACAGTCGACAAACGCACAGAAAATCGATCGATTTTCTTGCTCTTTTAAAAACACTATAGACTATATAATACAATACTTGTAATACTATATGATACTCGTTGATATATCATTTCGTGTATTGACCTCAGACACGGATCTCGAGAAGCGTACTCATCCCTGTGAGTCGTCCTTTTCACCACCTAGCGACCCGATGTCGGTGCCAGAGTTCAACCGGATGCGTAAATGGGTGTGGACACAGGTAGGATTCGGCTTGCGTGTGTGTTAGCATTGTAACGTTGGGGGTTCAGCAACGGCAGAGAGAATCGCAGAGCAAGGTTGAGCCTTTCTTGACGTTTCGGATGCGCGCCATGTCTATATAGCGTTCTTTTACTGTGTAGCATTGCTCAGTAGTACACAAGCAAGTTGTAGTTTATTATAATTCTCTTAGTTTTAGGACGCTTTTGGTTTACTTGTGTTCGTTAATGTGGGGAAATGGAGAGTTACGTCGTTGGCGGGGTGGCTCGGGTATTGTTTCACGATAAGCTCAGGTTGGTGATGATGAAGGATAAAATAGAAGTATCGTCTGATTGGTGTTCCCACTGGCACATAGTTTGGTCGAGAGTCTCCAAGTATGTCTCAGCGGTTGCGCCTTACTAACTTATGCCTTGGTATTGTAGTAGAAGTTCAGCAAGGTGGTATCGGGAGTTATGGTATTGTCATCACATACACGGTATGGTTATTTCGTAGTACAGCTTGGTGATCATCCACTGAGTTCAAAGGGATGCTCAGTAGTATGATAGTGACTCACAGCCTCGTGAGGTGAGTGCCACAGTATTCTACTTATATCATACTGAATGCTCACCTT